TAACCATCATGCAACCAGCTGGTCCACATTTTAAGTCTTTAAAGCATCTTCAATATGGAGATCCTAATATTCCAACATCAATTAGTTATTCAACATTACAAATCATCAGAACTGGATTTGCTTAAAGATATGTCCAATGCAAACAGTTTTGTCTCAGGGAAAAAAAAATGGAATAGAAGATTCAGGCATCCATTAATTTTTCAAGTTAAATTTTAGTCTATGGAAGGAAAATAAGGAAATTCATTTTAACACTCTAAGATCATTTGAATTTCTACTTTCAGAAATACTGTTGTTCAAGAAGTAAAACAAACTTGTAATGAGGGGATATTATTCTGTAATGATGTGTTAAAGTCAGCTTTTATTTATTTTTTTAAAGAATGATTTAACTTTATTTTATTTGCTTATTTATTTTAATTTGGGGAGAAAGATAGAGAGAGACAGACAGAGAGAGAGAGAGAGAAAGTGAGAAAGCAAGCCACAAGGTCCAGGACTCGAACTGTGGTTGCCCATGTTGGAATCCAGCGCCCTTAACCACTATGCCACCTGCCAGCCCTTAAAGTCAGCTTTTAAATCAGAACTGTATATATACTTCATAATTTTTAAATCTCCTTTAAGAGAATATTAACAATAGAAAGCATCTTGTCTTGCATAACACATTACTAAATAAAATGTAGGAGATAAAGAATGAGACACAGGGCCAGCAGGTGGTGTGGTGGTTAAGGTGCTGGACTCGCACATGGCCGGAAGTGGTTCAAGTTCTGGACCTGGACACTTGCTTTCTCTCTCCCTCTGTTTGTCTGTCTGGTGAGTGTACATGCCCTGTAGCAAATTAAAAAATAATAATGATGATAAATAAAATTGAATAAATAATTCTTTTTTAAAAAATGCGATACACAAATGTCCTTTATTTCTACTCTCAGTAGAAGTTAGATTTTTCCACGACTTTGTTTTAAAGAGAGGACCACTGTGTAGAAAACTCACATGAGTTATCACAGGTAACATTCCCTGAGGCAAAGCCATGGTCCGGGTACAAGTACTCGCATTCTGCCAGGATGAAAACTCTGGCCCTCCTGCTCCCTTCTCTTCTGATTTATCTTTCTTTTTTCTCAAGATAAAAATGTCAAGCACTTTTCTAGAGCCAGCAATGTGTAAAAATGTTTGGAATGCCCTTCTGAAATCTTAGAAAGAACCTGTCTCTGTTATCCATGTCACCGAAAAATATTCTTACTTAATATTCTTCTCAACAAAATGAGAAGAAATATTTTTTCTACAGAAAATATTGCTCTCAATTTTAGGCTTATTTTTTAACTAAGTCCAGATAATTCACTCCAAGTTGTTGTGGGTTTTTTAAAAATCTGATTCTTCAAAGATACAATAATAGAACATCCTGCCATTGTTTGAGAAGAAATGCAATGAAATGATTAAGAGAGCAGATTCTGGAGCTAAATCATCCAGGTTCTGATCTGGGCTTTGCTCTGTGACCTCTTGCATGCTTGACTTCACCATGCCTCAGTTTCTTCGTATGTAAAATGGACATAATAACGGTTACCAACCTCAGTCGAGTTTCCTGAGGATTACGCTAACTCTTACAGGCAAACGCTCAGCAGTGTCTCAGGCACAGTCTCACAAGTATTTGAGCTCTACTTAACAGAGCATGCCCTCTGCTCTGTTAAGCACAGATCACTTCTTTAGTCCTCCCAACAATGGTATTTTATAGCTATAAAAATTATAGGTTAGAGAAATAAATTGGTCTAAATTTACACTAAGTGGTATTGAGCAAAATACAATCTGGATCTCAAAATGCTTAAATACAAAACCAGACATTGCTCCACTTTTCAAATTCTGACACAGTTCCAAATTTATCATATTCTTGCAAATCAGTCTTAGGCTAGATCTTGCTACTTAATATACTGAATGTCTATAAATGGGTTCACAGTAACTTTGAATTATGGCTGGCGTGTTTAAAAACAGAGAAACAAAATCGTTTCTTAAAATATATTTTATCTCCAAATAATAAAAGATTGAAACATTCAGGATATTCTCAAATAATTCAGAACTCTGCATCTCATTGATATCTCACTGGGTTAGGAAGACCAAGGAGCACTGAAGCTCCCATGTGAGTTGTTTTGGACCCTAGCGGAATCCCCCTAGGTTGGGTGAAGGCCAAATTGGATGAACACCTTTTCTTTTCTTTGCCTGACTTCTTTATCTATTAACATTCATCACCAAAATGTAACATTGCAGACTTCTTGGAGGTGAATAAATAAATATATACCTAATTTGTCACTGAATGAGCAAAAAAAAAAAAAAAATGTACACAAATTAAGAGACCTAACAATTAAATATCACAAAATTTCAGGACTAGCAATTGGCATAATGGCTATGTCACTGGACTCCCATGGAGTTGACCACGGTTTTGAGTCCTGGACCTGACTTAAACTCATGCCAGGCACATGTGCATGCATGCCCAAGATCCCGAGAGGAGAATGGAGAAGAAGGGATTGTGGCATGGCCATCCCCCTGTGGGGTGATTTCTCACTCTCTATCTCTCTTTCTGGCAAGCACACGCACAAAACAAAACAAAACAAAAATAAATATCACAAAGTTTCATTTTTGACTTGTGTTCTGCTCCAAAGTGGATGCTGATTACAATTTTCCATATAATTTGTACCAAAGAAATGATTCATCTGGGCAATCTACAACCTCCCAATAAATGTAAGTTCCCAAAATGATTACTCTTTTTTGACTTCATGTCATCTCCATTTGGCCTAGAGTAGCTTGCTTTTTTTTTTTTTTTTTTTTTTAAGATAGATTTTTTTTTCTCTCTCTCTCTTTAGGATACATGTGGTAGCTGGAGAGACAGAGAGAGAGAGACAGAAAGTGAGAAATCACACCCTCCCCCAGGGGTTGGGGATGGCCACGCTGCAATCCCTTCTCCTCCATTTTCGTCTCAGGAGTTTGGGCACACACACAGGTGCACAAAGCCTGAGTTTTAAACCTCTGGGTCTGAGAATCAAACTGTAGTTGACTGTGTGGTAGTCCAGCAATAGAACCAATATACCATCTGCTGGTCTCGGCTTAGAGTAACTTTAAGAGCTAACATATTTATTTATAGTCACAAATGATCTATGTATTGATTTGAAATTATTTCATGACATTCTTTTAGCTAAATTTCTTTTTATATTAAAAAGTTCTACATGTCATTTACCTCCTCAGTAGCTCCTAAACCAATTTAAGCATTGACCCATGAATAAAATAATGAATTTGGAGATCTAACTGTATTATACACAGAAGCATCATTACTATCTTTTACTGCTAACAGATTTGTTCTTTTACTACATGTGGTATTCTTATCATGCATTTTATTTATCCTGAGAAATAAATAAGAGGCACCTCAATCACTCTTTCTTTTTAGGAGCACATTTACAAACTGATGAAAAGTGATTCATACCCACGTTTTATAAGATCCAGTGCCTATCAGGAACTTCTACAGGCAAAGAAAAAGGTATTGGTTCTTTGTGACCTTTTTGACCTAGTTATCAGTTATAATTCTTTGGAGTAATGACTTCTGCTGGGCCCAGGGTATTGGACAAGTGGTAAGTGAACATATTCCAAGACCCTCCCCCAAACCTTTGCATTTTATTAGGGCTATTTCAGTTATTTTTGTTTTTGTTTGTTGGTGGCTTATTGTATTTTTTGTTAGTTATTTTTGTTTCTGCAAATGTTCATGCTTCACAACATTTATTAGAAGCTATTTTCATGTTCCATGGTTAGTCCTAGTCATGACACATTTTTGGGTAGAAAAAGAATAGAAAAAAGACTTCATGACTTTTCTGACAGCCCCAAATATGCCTAGTTTCAGAAATCAATAATTATGATAAAGAAATAATATCATTATATCAAAAACATGAAGAAGATTTTCTTTGTTTAATAAGCCAGGTTGTACATTTTGGACTACTGACCTTATAACTAAAAGTAGACCCCACTTTTTTCAATGTAACTGCCAAAATGGATTAACACGTGCTTCTACATATTTTCATTTGGTATTTATCCTGAATTATTTAATATTCCTATGATGAATTTTGCACACATAAAAAGGTAGCCAAGCACATTTTGAGAGAGTTGCTTTAGACCTCAGTATCCAATTAGTGTTCATGATCAAGGTCTCCCTTTCCATAGATCTTGATATGCTCAATATAACAGGGTATGGAAGATCTGGACAGAACCATGAACACCATTATTTTTTAATGTTAAAATAGTCCATAGCTTTTTGAAAGTTTAAATTACAATTTTATGTAATTCATGGTGATCATTTAGGCCAATAAGATTCTTTTAAAGGCTCTTGCCTTTGCAGTAGAGATAGAAATTTGAGTCTTGCATTTTCCAATGATCAACCATTAACCACACAGGGCTATTTTACTTTTAATTTTAATTAATTAAAATTACCTAAAATTTCACTCAAATTTCAAGTGCTCAGTAACCATGCAGAAGGCTTCTGTTCTAAAATTTCTATCTTTTCAAAATGTTTTATTAGATAGCAGTGCTCTACAGAATTAGTAATGTTATCTGTAGAAATTTAGCCCTGAGGTAAAATTCTGAGGAAATTCTCATGATATGATATTTGATTTTCAAATATTTCGGCTTCACAAATGTCAACATAAAAGCTTAACATATGTACTTCCTTGTATATTAACTTAATTTTTTCTTGAAATCACACCATTCTATTTGCTTAGGAAGACTTTTTGGTGTTAAAAATAAGAACACAACGAAAATAGAGCCCATATCCTATGACAAAAGGCCTTCTTTGGTGGCTCTTCTATCTTCCTGGGTCGTGTGATTTAGACCATGGATTTGGTGTTGTGTCACATCATCCTGTCTTTTTCTGCTCTGTTTCCCTGCTGCTTCTTTTTCTTTTTTTAATGTTCCCTTGTTTCCCTTCACCCTACCCCCACCTCACACATGTAAGTCTGGAAACTCAATGGATCGCAGATCATCTTTTGAGAAATTTGCACAGAATGTGGTAAGTTTTATCTTTTGAGGAATTACAAATCAGTAAGTCCAATGAAATTTTTCTAGTTTCCCTATTTCTAGCCCCCCTGCCCACTTTTTGATGTAATAGCAAAAGTATTGCCTTTATTTAAATTCAGAATTTCATACTTCCTTACCTATCTTTCTGCCCCAGCCCTTTCTAGAGCAGATAAAAATGTCATACATGAACAACTAAAGTTTGGAAAGAAGTATATATTTTATAGATAGAATAAAGGAATAGCAATTATTCTTTATGTATTTATTTTTATTCCATGCATACCTTTCTTTATTAAAGATAGTGCATGCATTTCTATGCTCTTTTCCTTAGCACTTCCTTAGGCCTAAAAGATTAAGAGGGTGCTGTGTTTGCTATCTCTGCAGGGAGAAAGTCATCTGTTGAGCAGTTTAAAGTCAAAGACTTGATATGAATGGTGGTTAGGGACAAGATATGCCCCAATGTAGACCCACTAGCATGCTTCTCTTAATCTTTATTTTTCAGGAAGGTGTTGAAAACATTACATAAATTATCCAGGAAACTGATAGTTCTCCTACCAGTGTTTCCTTAGTATCTTCCCATGTGTTTCGGTGATATATATTTGTTTGTGGGATTCTTTCTTTATTTTTTTGTATTGTGCCAGTGCCTTTGGAACTTTCTGACATTGTGTAAGCTCAAACTAAAGCCTTCAACACATTTATTTTTATAGGGCAGAAACATCCCTATTTTCCCATGCCATAAAAACTGTACACCAACACTGAGGGCCAGCACTAACCTGTTATGAAAAGAGGTAGAACAATCTTGGTTTATACTCAAGTTTGTCTGCATTGTCTGTTGAGTTGTTGACTAGCTCCATGCTGCTTGCTGTGTGTGTGTGTGTGTATGTGTGTATGTTGTGGCTTTTGCTGTGGTAACCAGTTAAGTGGAGTTATGTGTGTTGAAATGTAAGCAAACTGGATTCAACAACGATACAGTGTTTGTTTTCAGTTTCCTTCAAGAATCTTTGTGGTGGGGAATGTTAATCAGTTCTACTTTTGAATTACCATTGTGACTGTACACAGAGTATTTGAAAAGATTTAAACGCCAATATATATACTTTGAACATTCAATATGATTGCATGACTTCAAGGGATGGAGAATGAGGGACTCCAGGGATTCATCACACTATAAACTTCACAAAATTTTGGCTGGTTTTATTGGAATCTCTGTCCTTTTATACACAGCTTTCTTAAAAATATAATTCACTTTGGGGAGAAAAAGCAATATCAAAGAAATTCCCCCAAGATCTTCCTAAAGAAAGTGGCCATAGGATATTCAGAACGTTCTATATATTGGTTAATAATTGTTTCAAATTCATCCTTTTCTAACATAATGCTGAAGAATATTGTTCTTAAGATCAAAATGGAAATTTCTGTGATGTAATTAAAATAGTGATGCAACTAGAGTATGTTTGAAAGGGGAAGAAAAATAGTCCTTTCCTCCAAAACCTTTCTCAAATATGACTTACTCTCCCACCTCTTAAAGCACAACACATTGTCACACATTTCAAACTTTAGAAAAGAATCAAAAGGGAGCTAGCAGGAGGTGTGGTTGTTAAGGCACTAGACTCCCACATGGTCAACTCCAATTTGAGGCCTGGACCAAATGGCTTGAAAATCATGCTGGGTACATGTGCATGCATGCCCAAAATCACAAGAGGAGGATGGAGGAGGAGGGCCTGTGGTGTGGTCATGGAGGGGTGATTTCTTAATTTCCCTCTCTCTGTCTCTCTCCAGCAAGAGCATGCACCCTATGGCAAAAAAAAAAACTAAGAAAAATTTAAATATTCGGTCATCAGGAAAGTCATGATGCGTTTTTCTGTTTTTCTATGCAAAAATGTGTCATGACTTTTCCAATGGCCCAATAAATAAATAATAAAAAATAGAAAGAACCAACAGGAAGTAAAAGGAAGCAATAATCAACCATCTACACCTTCCATCAAAATTCATACAAGTGACAACTGATTTCCAAACATTTTGCTGTCTTGGGAACATGTAGACTTTGACTGTAAAGGTAACTAATTGTATAACAATATGTTATGATGTAAAGGAATAATAAGTTATTTATCTCCTTGGTATTATGATGAGGAAGGAAGATTCCTATGTAATCTGAGAATTTCCATAAGAGGTATCATTTAATCGGATGAAAATGATTTCACCAGGCTGCGAACAGCAACCACTCTCTTAAGCAGAAGGAAAAAAAGACTGAAATTACTAAAGTAACATTTTCTCTCTCTCTTTTAACACACACACACCTACAACATATGACATAGTATAACTCAGAAAACCTTTAGGTACATTGTCTAACAGTAATCGCTTTTAATTCAGGAAAATAAAAAGTGATGTTTGTCACTGAATAATTTGTTTTGGTGTTACTCTGAATAAATAGAGTAAGAAAATTAGAAAGTCTTTCTGGATTTCCCCTACAGAGTATTCCTCCACAGTACTTTTAGGGTCAGCTCTTGAGTCAAGCACCCCAAGTATTTACACACAAGATATTATAGAATATATTTACTGAATAAACTAAATCATTTTAATACAAAATAAAGGAGTAATTTTATAATACTCAGAAATAATGGAGAAAAAAATGATATTTACACAAGGGTGTTAAAAGAAATCGTAGGTGGAGGCACAGGGAGATACAAGACGTATAGTATTCAAGAAAGAAATGAAACAGGGAAAATAGGAATAAAAAAATAGGGAGACCGTGAAACAAACTTAGGAAAATGAGAAAATAACTCACATTTATTGAGTACCTGCTACATATCAGGCTTCGCATTAGGCCCTTTTTATTATTTATATTTTCTAACTTCGCTTAATTCACTTACTGACCTGTTATTTTATCCATTTTACATGTGACAAAACTGGAGGGTAAGAGGAAGGTTGTGTCTTGCCCAGGATCAGATGGCAAGAGAGCTGGCACTGATCCAAAATGTATTGTTTCTCAATTCTTTCTCTTTTCACCAATCCACCCTGCTCTTGATATTCTTCCAACTGTTGGAAGACGAATAGGTCTTGCGAGACAAATACGTCTCGCCAGTACTTTAGAGAATAATTATAATAAATAGGGAACAATTGCATAGCATTGTCAGTGTCTTGAGGGCATGCAGTCCTTCTTGTTGATTTGTTGTGATGTTGTCATTTACATGCACAACCATCCTGGGAGGAGTTGGGGAGTATTACATTGCTTTCACAGGTGAACAGATAGGGGGATAATGAGAAGAAGCCCTTCATCAGTGTCACTCAGTTGAGAGTGTTAGAGCAGAATTGGAAGCAGATTTTTCCTAGTTTTAAATCCATTACTCTTTATTGATTACTCTTATTCTTTCCATTACACCCAGAAAGGCTAGGATAAGAATAACTCACATTGTATAATGTGTGTAATGCCTTCTGCTTGGCTGTTGTCTCAAGAAATCTCATTTCCTGTAATTTACTCTTTGGTTT